GAAGATACTATTTTTATCTTTCCGAGACTCGCCTTGGACTCGGCTTGCTTCATATCCACTACAATACGGAAATTGACCTTGATGAAGTAATCCGCCGATTTGCAAGGATTCATCCGCAACTGGCCAATATCCTGTCTGAATGACTCAGAAACCAAGGAAAAGGGTGTTTATGGAGTTAAAATCCGAAAAATTTTCCGGGGGAGCATGCCCCCAGACCTCCCTAGAAACTTGCGCTTTCGGCGGTCGCTGTTACAAACTCGGTCAGTGGTTATCCTAGATCAGCGCCTGTACGTCATATCCTTACCCTCGTTATAATTTTAATACTTATAGGTTTTAAAAGACGACGTCACGCACTGAGACGTCGTTTCCTTTCAAGTCATTTCACAATGTGTAGCAGCAAGTTTATCATTTTTGCACTCTGGAAATCTTTAAAATAAAAGGCTGACAGAATGATTTCTCGGTATGTACACTGTACATGTATACTAAACACAAAACCACATGGAAAGTGCTTTGTGCGTTATTTAAGCACGAATTTGTTTTTACATCTGTCTGATACGTCAACCGTACGCGCGTACTTTCAATGGAGCATTCTACATGTATATTTCTTTTAGTTAATCTAGTTTGAAGCCTTGTGCGGGCTAGTACTCTTTGTCAAGAGGTGTTTCCTTTTTACTTTTACCGGCTCCCAGCACTTTATAACTCGGTAGAATCTCAATCAAACTTCAAGTTACAGGTAAGTCTTGTTTAATTTTGCGAAGGATAGGCTAGCGCTATTGAGTGTTTCAACATTCTGGGCCAACGTGAGATACGCCATTAGAAACAACGAAATGAATTAAGGGTTAAAAAAATACAATCATGTAGCTCTTCCCAGATTCATCTAGCACTGGTTGATGAATTACCCACAGAACGTGTATAGAGAAATAGTCTTAATAAAAAAAAAAGAAAGAAAGAAAGAAAAATGGAAACGGGCTTTGAGAAAGTCTAACTAATGTTTGACCCTAAGCTTTCATTTAGTCTTATATATGATCTGATTTGTTGACTCCAAATCACTAGAATTGGGGCCAGCCCGATATTATGCTCTCTTTAAGTAGATCAATGTTGTTCTTGTAGTCTACCCCTCTTGACACTGTTAACAGCGCGTTTTGACGCGAGGATTGCCGGTTTACCAAATTCATAAGCGTTATTGTTTTTAAAATTTAGTCTGGATATTTCACTCATCAATCTTAAATATTTAACCCCAGGTATCCAAACATATGTGCGGGTTTAACCATATGCTTCTCAATTAAAAAAAAATACAAACTAACTACTCTTGTCATAAGCTTGAGCTACCTGTTTCTAAACTTACGTCCATACAGTAAGTTTAATCTTATTTCTCTTTTTATCAAAAACCATATTTCACACTCTTACCTCTGATAGTGGCGGGCATCTTGTCAATAAAAAGCTGGAGCTCATTTGGATCAGCATCTTTTAGTTGAACAGTTTGTCCTTTAAAAAGTCCTCGTCTTAGTTCACTAATTGTAACTGTATCCTCGGTGACCCTCATTGTAGTTTCAGGCAGAATGTAAAACTGAAACGGTAAGGAAATATGATGATATAATCAAAGTTTTATTGACTATAGCGGCAATAGTTACTGTAAAATAACAACTAAACACAACTATTCACAGCCCATTTCACTGAGATCTCACTTGCTACAGGATAAGCAGTTATGTCCTCAGTTACAGCCAATGAGTTCAATAGATTCTGCTCAAAATCATTTGTCAATACCGCTCATATTTATATTTTCGTTTTTTTTTTTCACCATAACTCATCTTTCTTTTTCTAGATTGGTAAATTTTCGGTCCTCAACTTAATGTACGGACCAAAGACAAAAAAAAAAGATCTATCCTTTCCCTCGTCATCTTTTTTGACCCATCAGGTACCAAAATGTGGTTTAGTTGTAATCTTTCAGTATCAAAATTAACCACGATCCTTGTTTTGCCCCATAATTTATGACCTGCACTATTTTTCCTAGCTCTAGGTTCAGAATCTCACATTTTTCGCCTTTTGGGGGTTGGCAAGTCTGTACAAGACCACTAAACACCCTACACAGTGCATGCTTTTGCACTAGTATGGCACATCTTGTCAAAGGGACAGTTTAATAGAGGTAAGGACAATAAGAAATTACTCATTGGGACCTCGAAAACAGGTGACTACGCCTGCTTAACAGAGGTAACTGCTAAACACAGATCAGTTTTTACAATAATTAAGGGAAACTATTTTCAGGACTTTAATTGGTGACCGCTTATAGAGATCTGCTTAATACAGGTTTGACTGGTTTGACTATAGAGGCAGTTACAGTAAACACCCGCTAATATGAACCTGTGGTTAAGAACCTCCTGGCAGAAATCTGCACTTTAACACCTAAGAATACAAGAACCTGTTTAGGCAAGCTAAATCACGCAGGTTCTTAAAGGGACCTTCTTATCAGCGAGCGTTTCCGGTACCATAAAATAACAACTGAAAACAACCATATTCACACCCCATTTAACCATAGCCTGCGAGACGCAGACGTATTTCCTGACGTCGCTTCGCTCCCTCCGAAAAACCGTTAGCTGAAAATTATTTGTCAAAATCGTAGCCTTGCAGCTCTTTAGAACTTTTCCCAGCCAATTCCTATGAGGTTTCCCAGTATACACTAGACCATGTGGTCCCTGGCTCGTCCCCAGACCTTTAGGAAGAGGGCAACACCTCATCTCCATTCATTCCCTACCATGAACAAGCCAGGCAACATCTTCTCTCCCCGACATTAGATGAAAGATTATAATTTAAACGAATTTGAGTTAATATCTTGTACTTTTTAATAGTTTTTACCTATTTTAGCTTTATAATGTCTTTGCGAATTGTGTGTATTTTGTATTTTTTTTTTAATTTTACGAAATCCTTTTTGAAAACCATATTTTACATGAAAAAGTCATCTCAATAAAGATTATTATTAGATTATTACTAATTTGAACAAAGAAGGGTAATAAGTGACTAAAAAAATATATGATGATACCTATTTTTATGCAAGACACACAAAAAACTCATTATCGCACTGACTTAATAATACCTGAAGAATAACTTTATAACGTAGGGTAAATTTCACTTGACCATAGCGGACATTGTCGCATCATTTCAGGTTTTATGCAATACTATTTGGTGTGAATTTTAACTTGTACAGTGTACAAGAAATGGAGCATAAAAAAGTCTTAGTTATCAAAGATTATCATAATAATACCGATCAAAAAAGTCAACAGGCTCACAGTGCAAAGCACAGAAAGTTATTAAGTGAGCTTTGAAATCAAAAAAATAAACTTGAAGCAATAGATAAAACAAATACAATGAAACCTCTATTCAGGGGACACCCTCAGGACCAAAGCAAGTGTCCCTTGAATAGAGGTTCCCCCTGATTAGAGGTTGCGCTGGGGTTTGTTAATAATTAACCAACAAAGACAGCATAAAGAAATCAACATTTGGGACTTTAAGATGTCGCAACGGCGACGACAAAGAGAACGTCAAAAAGGCAATAGGTTGAAATGAATAGGCAAAGCAACAACTCTGCACGTGCATCACGCTTTTTTGTACATTTTTTTACCATCACTGCATGACTACGACAGGAAAATGTCAAATTTCACATTTTATGGAGGACGTAAACAAGCGATGGCGAAATTTTCTTTCTCTTCCTCAGGGGTGTAGCTAAGGGGTGGTCCTGGGGTGCCCGTGCTCCCCCCCCCTTGTGAGATAATTGTTTTATGTTCCTATAATCCAGGTGGCCAAAACGCGCGAATCTGAAGAATCAACATGCAATAAATCTTTTCCAGTGCAAGATTGTTACTTACCCATTTGCAGTGGACCATGTTCCTTTTCACAGCTAAAATAGAGCAATTTATGCTATGTGGAACGTAATTAATCTATGCAGCTAGTTTTTAGGCTTGTCCCTCCACCTACACTCACTGCTCATCCGAAAAAAAAAATGTCACGGTTTATAGTAAAACACGGCCTGGATGTCAATATGCCAATCTGGCAAGTACCCTGGGTTTGTCATATTGTGAGCCCCCCCCCCTGAAAAATCCTAGCTACGCCCCCGTTCCTGAACTAGAATATGATTCTTAGGAATTTGGCTGAAAAAGACCTCGCTTACATTTGGCAAAGTAAATGGTTGGAATGATCGCGATAGAGACTGAAAGAATGGAAATTCACTTTTTAAGCGACATTTTCGTGGCCGTCACCGTCGTGGTATCTTAAACTCCCTATTGTTTAATTTAATTTATTTTTATTTTCTATTTTTATACAATTTAATTTTACTTTTTTTAATCGGTAACACCTGTACAGAAATGGTAATACTGAATAAACTTGTTGACATATGTTGAATTCACACAAGTGCATTTCATTGATTTCTGTGCGACAGTTCAGTTTAGTTTGCTTGGGAAAGCTTCCATTTTTGATTATTGTGTATTTAAAGATATCAGCCCTCTTTGTGGTCAGTCACTTTTTGAGTGCTGAGGTGTCTCCTGAAATAATGGAGATTAAAATAAAGCCAGGTTTCCTGACCCAGAAAAAGTGTCCCTATTATAGCGAATAATCCAAGGATGGTCCACGGTTCCAACTCGTCTTTATTACAGTTATAACGAATTACGATTACGGTTGCTAAAAGCGAAACAAAAAGTACAGATTACTAAGGAATACAAATGACAGCTATGAAACGACGAAAATACAGGAAACGGAAAGAAACTAAGCGAAAATACTTACAAACGTTGTGTGACTAGAAAGTTGAACGGAAAAAAGGTACGATGGCTAACAAGACTGAACGAAAAAACTGCAATGATGTTGCCGTGAACGCTAAAGCGAAATGAATTAGAATAAACGATGAAACTTACAAAATGATCTAAGAACAAAGAAAGTTATGCAGAGAAATCTAACAGAATATGAATAGCGATAACTGAAAAGAATGTGAAAGGAATGTGCAACTATACAAAGAACTAAACGCTAAACATATTGACGTGGAATGCGGCCGTAACATCTGGCTCCCCTAAGAGTTAGGAAAAACTCTTATGTCCTTAATTCTTAATTAAAGTTCATTAAAGTTCATTGAACATCTCTAAATCTCCATGGCTCCTCTGGCTGGGATATACCCCTGGTCCTCAGTTTTCTTCATTCTCAAGTATTAGCACGAGCTTCTGAATTGGCCTCTCCAACGTTGTCGTTGCCGTTGCAACCTTCACCGATCGGACCTGTCCCTTTGAATCTGGACGTGAGTCGACAACTTGAGCCATATTCCATTGATTTCTTGGCACTCTATCATCGGCGATCAATACAAGGTCTCCTCTTTGAAGGTTTCTCCTCTGGTTGTTCCATTTCACTCTCTCTTGTAGGGTCTGGACGTACTCCTTTCTCCACCTTGACCAAAAGACGTTGGACAAATATTGAACCCGTTTCCATCTTCGACGGAGATAAACGTCGGCCTTCTGGAAGTTACCCGGGGGCGGCATTGCGATCTTTGATTTCATCGTCAATAGGTGACTCGGCGTTAAAGGATCCAAATCTCCGGGATCACTTGACGGGAAGGTAAGCGGACGGCTGTTGATGATGCATTCTACCTCAGCCATCAAGGTTCTAAGAGACTCATCATCAAGGACGTGACCATATTCTCGCATCAGCGCAGACAAGATGGATCGAACAGATCGTATCTGACGTTCCCAGACGCCACTCATATGAGACACAGCTGGGGGATTCCTTTTCCATTTGATAACCCAATCAGAACCAACGTACCTCCACTGGTAGGGGTTTGTAGAGTCTCGTATCGTCTGAACACGGTTGGCGACATTTTCGTTGCTTATATACTTTAACACGGTTGTGCTGTCTGTCCAGAAGTGCCTGCTATTAACAGGTTCGTCTAGCTCTTTGGCGATCATCTCTACCACACGAACCGATACAGTGGCTGCGGTTAACTCTAAACGAGGGATAGTCATTGTCTTCACGGGAGCAACTCGAGCCTTCCCTATAAGGAATGCGCAATGGACGTCACCTCTCTCGTTCTCCATTCTAAGGCAGGATACTTGACCATAACCAGTCGAACTTGCGTCAGAGAAACTGTGGATCTGTCTCGACACGACGACGCCAAAGTTATTGGGCTTCAGACATCGTTCCATAGAGAAACGCTCAAGGGCAGGCAACTCGCCTCTCCACCTTTCCCAACGTACGCGGAACTCTTCGCAAATCTCGTCGTCCCATCCTAGCTTCGTTCGGCACAGATCCTGCAAGATCTTCTTCCCGACTAACAGGAAGGGCGCAACTATACCCAGGGGGTCGTAGACGGAAGATATGGTTGATAGTATTCCCCTCCTTGTTAGTGGCTGGTCTTTGATGACAATTCTGAAACCGAACATGTCCGATTCGATCGCCCACTGGACACCAAGAGCTCTCTCCACTGGATAGTAATCACTTCCTAATTCTAACGATCTAACTTCTGGGGCGCGCACTTCTTCCGGGATACTTTCGAGAACGTTTTTGCTGTTGCTGACGAACTTGGCCAAATTAAACCCTCCATGGGCGCAAGCATGGCGAACATCGCATATCCTTTCGATAGCGGTATCTTCTTTTCCTTCGGAGCGCAGACAGTCGTCAACGTAAAAGTTCTTTCGCAGAACATCTGCGGCCTCTGGCCCAACACTTTTTTCCGCGTCATCTGCGGCTTTTCTCAGCGCGAAATTTGAGCAACTTGGTGACGACACTGCGCCGAACAAGTGGACGTTCATTTGATATTCTTCAAGGTCTTGTGTTAGGTCTCCATCAGGCCACCAAAGGAAGCGAAGGAAGTCTCGCTGGCCTTCTGGTACGCGGACTTGATGGAACATTGCATCAATGTCCCCCATAAACGCAATAGGCTCTTCGCGAAATCTTGTAAGGACACCAACAAGTCGATTTGTCAGGTCAGGCCCTTGTAGCAACTTGTCGTTGAGCGATGTTCCTCCAAATCTAGCGCTACAGTCGAACACCACCCTTATCTTGTTCGGATTCTTGGCATGGTAAACGCCATGATGGGGTATGTACCAGACTTGGCCCGTCTTTGCAGGAATAAGATGAGACGGTACCTTCCGAGCAAATCCCTTGGCAATGATGCTGCTCATAAAGTTAACATAGTCCTTGTAAAACTTCTCATTCTTAGTAAGCTTCTTTCTTAACCATAGTGCTCTTTGAAGAACTTGTTCTCTATTATCAGGGAACCATTGGCTGTCAACGCGGAAAGGAAGGGGAATTTCATAATGATGATCTTCCTCGTGACGAATTCCCTGACTGACTATCTTCAGAAACTTCATGTCTTCTCGTGAATATTCTTGCTCCTTATCTTCCGTTCGTTCACTGAAGTCCAGTTCGAGCATCTTGTTGAGTGCTTGTGGAGTGACGATCTCCTTAACTCTTCTCTCTACCATGAAGTGGTGGTCGAGGTGCCTGCCTGAACCAACTTCCGTAGCAGCAACTCTATGGCAATTGACATTTGAATGCTCTGTGTCGCACATGTACAGAGGGCCCACTATTGTCCATCCAGCAAACGTCCTGATTGCGAAGGGACCACCATCTTCACTAGCTAATACGTCTATGGGTTCGAGAGCCTTCGGGCAGTTTGAGCCAATCAGAAGACCAATCTTGACATTCGGTAACTGTGTAGGCAGCTCGCTGGCTATGTTTCTGAGATGTTTCCAACGATGGGCAAGTTCAGGCGTAGGCACATTTGGGGGTGTGCAGAGGTCCTCTTTAGTGAATATCTTCGGTAGCTGTATGGGATTCTTGCCCTTTAAGTCCGTGACGATTAATCCATTCAAGACCTTAGAGTCGTGCAACTTTGTACCATTGACAGTCTTCACCATGAGCTGTGTATTCACGCCCTTCACCCCCAAGGTGGTCGCGATATCGTCAATAACGAACGAACCGGTACTGCAGGTGTCAAGCATGGCGTAAGTGAGGACTTCACTTTCAGCAGATTTCAGCCTAACAGGAACGACAGGAACGGCGGTTACTGATTCTTCGGTGCCTACAGCATTGCAGAGAGCTTCTTCCACCTCCGTGTGAGCATTTAAAACGTTCTCCTTTGGTTGCGGAGGAGTAGAGCTAACCTGTTTGGAGGCCTCCTGATTGAGGGCAAGGCTATCATCATGTAGACCCGTTGGATGTCGACGTCAGCAGCTCTTACAGGTCCTTCGCTGGGCACAACCGTTGGATCTATGTCCAGGACTGTAGCAGGCAAAGCAGAGTGATTTCTTCTTTAGGAAGTCCTTCCTTTGTGACAAGGATTTGTTCAAGTAGTCTTGACAGTGGTCCAAATCATGGTTCTTGTTGCACAACTTACAGAGGTTAACGGGAGTGCGTGAGCCTGACTGTTGGTCAGCGGTGACATCTGTCGCGTGACTGGAGGCGTGATGTGAAATAACATTATGGTTCCCAGGCGTTTTAGACTTTCCAAAGCTTTTACCTCTGCCTTTGTTGGAACGATCAGGTCGATCTGAGGTACCATCCAAACGACGGAGCGCTTCACGAGAGAAGACTGGGTCGGTCGCAATTCCCGCTTCTGCATTAACGAAGTTGACGAAGTCGGCAAAGGAGGGGATCACTCCACCCGCCACTCTCCTTTTATTTGCTTCTCGGCGCCAACGGTCTTGAAGCGTAAATGGAAGCTTGGTTACCATGCTTTGCAAATTGTGAGGATGATTTAGGATAGACAGGTAGGTTAGAGTTGACATCGCGCTCCGGCACTGACTTAGGAAGATGGAGAATCTATCTAATGCCAACTCGTCCCCTGGTCGGATGCAGGGCCACTCGTTAATTTTCTTGAGATAGGCGTTGGATATCTTGTATGGGTCCCCATACTTTTCATTAAGGAGCCTTTTAGCTTCTAAGTACCCACTGTGTCTATCAAGGTGAAGACATCCTTTGATTAGGTCCTTGGGTTCTCCGTGTAAATACTGCTCTAAGTATTGCAGGCGCACATCATTCGCGCTGACCTTAGCCTCTACTTGCGATTCAAAACTTCTTATAAAGGTAAAGTACTCCAAAGGATCGCCACTAAACTTGGTCAGTGTAAGAGAAGGCAGTAAACTCTGTTGTTGTTGCTCCGCTAGTAATTCTGTTAATCTGTTCTGTTGTTGAAGGACTTCACAGAACTGCTTAGTACTTTGATGTGTGTAGGCCATGTATCGAGGTTCACTCGCGAAAGGTTCTTGTTTCGGTTGTCCTAATGGCTCTGTATCTTGCTTCGTTTCCGCGACGTGAAACTCAGGTGCAAAAGGATTCAGACTTGGATGCTGCATTGGCTTAGGGGGAGTTTGTATCATAGGAGCGTCATATAAATCAGCGGTAAAGCTCACTTTAGTCATAGTGTTAGACGTAACGGTTGGAGACGTGTAAGCGCTTGAGGAAGTCGGAAGAAACGGCCCAGATGAAGTAGATGCCTGTACAGAAGAATCTTTCGGAGACAATTCTTGACGACCAGTCGAATCCGCATCGCCGACACCCCTTTCAATTTCAGCGACCACGCCCTCTCGCACGCGAGCAACTGCCAACTGCTCTTCGAGGCGTAACTTCTCGACTCTCAACTCCAACTCTTTCCTTTTATCCAACATAGCAACTCTGGCCATTAACTCGGCGGCTTTGGCTTTTTCTTTCGCTCTGCTTGAGGTAATCGAACGGCTAGAATATCTAGAGGATGCCTTTGAACGATGCGATGTGGAATATATCGAGCCAACTTGAGATCTTGTTTCCAAGCTATGTTCGATTGTCTCTTTCGCGGTTGATATCCAGAGTACAGTTTTGTCTAAAAAGTCGTTAATCTTTCCACTCTGATTAATATACCATTCGTTCGGAACGTCCAAATCCTCCTCGGACTCAAGATCATTTAAAAGAGCAGCGAAACCCGACTTAAGCTCTTCCACGGAAAAACGAAATGAAGTTAAATTCCTCTCGACGACGTCCACATTCTCTTCATCAGTGGCCAAACTATCGATTTCCTTCATTTGACGTTGGATTCTTCTAAATAAAGTCTGGCAATCCGTCCATCGAACATGAGCGATAAATGCTTTTCCCTTTTCTGTGCGCTGCCTTCGCCTTGTTACACCGGTTGCTAAGGCAGCATTAGCGAAATCCAAACTGTCGCTTTCCGTTCCAACTTGTTCCTCGATTGGATCCATAACGTTTCAACGAAATATTATAGCGAATAATCCAAGGATGGTCCACGGTTCCAACTCGTCTTTATTACAGTTATAACGAATTACGATTACGGTTGCTAAATGCGAAACAAAAAATACAAATTACTAAGGAATACAAATGACAGCTATGAAACGACGAAAATACAGGAAACGGAAAGAAACTAAGCGAAAATACTTACAAACGTTGTGTGACTAGAAAGTTGAACGGAAAAAAGGTACGATGGCTAACAAGACTGAACGAAAAAACTGCAATGATGTTGCCGTGAACGCTAAAGCGAAATGAATTAGAATAAACGATGAAACTTACAAAATGATCTAAGAACAAAGAAAGTTATGCAGAGAAATCTAACAGAATATGAATAGCGATAACTGAAAAGAATGTGAAAGGAATGTGCAACTATACAAAGAACTAAACGCTAAACATATTGACGTGGAATGCGGCCGTAACAGTCCCTTTCATATGAATAGAGGTCACTCGTCCCTTTAATTGAGGTAATAATACAAAGATTATGTGCACATTTTCCGGGACCAAATTTTGTGACCCCTGAATGGAGGTGTCCCAAAGGAGAGAATGATCAATTACACTATTTGCTCAATTAAACCAACATGGATGAGGTTGTTAGCCAGTGTGCAAAGAAAGTGGTGTCTGATAGCCCGGGGCTAGTGGATTTTGCTATCAGGCTAGTGATTCGTATTCTAAACTTGCCCAATGTACAAATGAATTTTTTGGGGGGAATTCAAATCACAGAAGAACTGTAACCAATGCTCATCAAAATTTTTTTTGGGCTAGTACATGCTAGCTACAGCTTGCCTGAAAGGCAAGATGTAAAACTGACTTTCTTTGCACCCTGTTAGCATATAATATATAATGGATGGGGTAATGGCTCCACATAATTTTGATTCTTTTTTAAGTCCAATATACAATTTATTGAAACCTACTAAATTTTTCTAAGTTAAATTAATATCAGAGTGCAATGAACACACTTGGGTCAGCGGCACTTTGAGATTTAAAGAGATATCTTGTTGTTGACAGGCAACTAACTGTCCTTGTGAACATGACTTGTGATTGGCTGATTGTCATTGGGTGCAGCACTCTGGTTGAGCTTATTGCACTTTACAACAATACTGTACTATAATATTCAAGCTAGCCAGTTTACCGCAGACAATTTTAACCTTCTTTAAACCAACTTTGTCTATACTATATACACGATATGTTGGCCAGCTGCACCGCAGGCTATAAACAAGCCAGATGATATAAAAAGCAGCACTATAATGTCAGTTCTAGCTCACCACTTCCCCTAGCTACTTACAATTAACACATGAATATGATCAAAGAAAGTCCTTTGCAATTTCTTCTGACTCTAAATCTTAATAATGTAACAAAAAACTCTATAAGCATATTGTTTAAACGATGACACTCTTTTTTTTGAAAAATAAGGGACTGGTCAAAAAGTATAGGCGGGGGTGGGCCGGAGCAGAGACGGGGTGGGTCATGAGGTTTTGAGCCTTGCCGAAGGGGTGGGTCGTGCAATTTTCAGCTACCCTTAGGGGGTGGGTCACCCTATTTTATTACATAGATAGGCACTAACTACTAACAAGACAGTTGACCACACTTGTTATATAAAACACAGCCAGCTGGAATTATTGCTAAAATACTCACAAAACTGTTGTGCGAGAAAATGCAACAGGTGACAGGCCGCACATGTATCCATACGGGCGTGAAACCTTTTGTTAACCTTTTTTTTTTGGCTCTAACGACCATGTCCTTTAATGATTTTCCTTTTTTGTAAGGAAATGATTGGTGGTTCCTTAAAAATTTATAGAAGTTATGGTTGGTTTTGTATAAGATTCCATTTTTATTATTCAAGCTTCCTTTATAGTAGACATTGAGGGTTGGTATTGCGTCACAAATGGCAATATTTCTTTTTCCTCCTTGTATGTTTTGTTTTAGGAGTTTAGACTCGTTTTTGTGAATTTTATTTCTGATAGTAGGTCTTCTATCAAAGTTTGTGGGTAGCCTCTGTCCATCAAGCGTTTTTTTTTTTAACTTTTTCCTCAAAGGTTGTTTCTGAGGAGTTTTTTCGTAGGATTCTCAAGGCTTCTCCTTTGACAAATCCTTTTATAACACTTGGAGGGTGACACGAGGTGAAATGTGTGCAAGATTTCCGTTTGTTTAAAATGTGTCTTTGCATCAAGGATAGATATTTTCTTGAATCTTGTGCCTTTGTATACAACCGTGTCTAAAAACGCTGCATCTCAGGGTCAAATGTTTCGGCCGTGAATTTAATAGTTGGGTGATGTAAGTTTGCTTGTTCAATGAAGGCTTCGATGTCTGGTTTACTCATGTCCCATAGGGAAAAGATATCGTGTATGTAGCATTTCCAAACTGTTGTTCTAAAGACAGTTTTGCTTAGAGTTGTTGTTTCAATATATGTCATGAAAATATTGGCAAAGGAATCAAAACTGCTGTCTTTGTGCCCATTGCAGTTCCATGGTTTGTAGGTAGTGCTTTCCATTGAAGTGGAAGAAATTTTCTTTCAGGATTAATCTAAGAATACCCGGGAAGTAATGTGTAGGAGTGGGTTGTCTTTGTAGAAATTTTCATATGCTTTGTGACAGACAATTTCAATATACCCTTGTTTTGCTGTATATTTGTGTCAAGACTCATAACGTCCATCGAAACAAGAAATGTTCGGTTTTTCACATTTGTCTTTTCAGTGAAAGGTATGATTTCTGTGATTTTGATATTGGTTGTAGCAGTGTATCAACAAATTTTGTCAAGCACAGAACAAGGTTAGGCCATCCTCTTTTTCTTTCTCCGTTTACCGTCATCCGACTGACCCAAATATTTGGCATTTTCAAAACAAAAAAAAGTAACGACGTAAATACACCATTTTTCACTTGAAATAATTCTTTTAATCTGAAAAATGAGCACAGTAACAGCATAGAGAAAAACAGGAACAAAAACATGAACATTTTTCACAGTATGTTGTACATTTTGTTTATCCAAATGTGTGAATGTTAACTTTTAACGTCGTCCTGGGGTACCAGGGCCTACTATTCCTTTTTTTTAGGTTTTTTTTTTCAATCCGACCGACCGACCCAATATCAGGAAACGCGTTTGACGGTAAACGAAGAAAAAAAAGGGGATGGCCTTAGAGGAAACCAAACATCCATGTTTTAACTAGGGGGTGGGTTATGCAATTTCCAACCTTGCTTTAGGGGTGGGTCAGTCATTTTTGTGCCGAAGGGAGGGGGTGGGTCATGTGTTTTTTATCAACCACATTTCCAAATGCTCCGGCCCACCCCCATACTTTTTGACCAGTCCCTAAACTTAAAATAAAAGTACATTAATCTCCCAAAAGGTGTCCCCTATCCCGGTACTAACCCCGCCTTACAGGGCTTAGCTTCACCGAACAAACCGGGCAAGGCAAGTATGAGAATGATATGAACCGAAACCAATAAGTACCCATAAATGATATAGCAAAAATAACATAGGCTGCTGACTTTGGGGACCTCAATAAATAATATTTCAGTTCCCAATAACTAAAAGAGTTGATTTTCATACTGGTACTGTATAATGAAATAGGACTTTACAGTATACACATGACCTACAATCATACCCATACAGTGGCTTAGAAAGAGATAATAGCAAGCCAAGAAGAGGAAGTTTCTTCAACTACTTTTGAACTAGCAGTATACATGCAGTTTGTTTTTGTAACTGCTATTTCAATTTCAACCTCAGAAACCCAAGGAAAGCTTACACAGTATCAGCACCACAGGAAGAAAAACAATCGAAAAATCTTACTTCCTGTGGACCAGCCCTTGGCAGATTTAGATCTGGAAAAACGACACGTAAAGGTAATTCAACGAAAAGTAGGAGCAAAAAATAAATTATTAGAAAAAGGGATGAAAACACCATCATCACTTGTCATTGATCTACTGACAAGCATAAGCAACTCTTATTACATACATACTGCAGGGAAATACACAAGAAGGCTGTCAGTCAAGTCCCTGACAACAGAAATTATTAGTTCTGTCCCATGTATCTCCCAACCTAGATCTCTCCATCTGGTCCATCTCCACAAACCTCAGAGTTATTTTTTCTGTCTTCTCTGGGCTACTGGGTTAGTGGTGTTTAACTGGAATCTTTTGCATAATTTAGTCCATTTTGATAATGGCATGCAATGCGTACATGTATATTTTGTATTATTTGCTGTATGCTGGAATTGGTTTTTGGTCTCTAAAGAAGTTATCAAAAATGGAGAAATCTCTCATGGAACTCATCTTACCAGCATCTGCCAGGGGTGGATCCAGAAAAATCTGAAAAAGGTGGCTGCATGGGACACTTGCCCACTTGCCAGCTATATAGAAACATTTTACTGTTCTGAGAATTCTATAAAAATAATACAAAATAATTTCAAGGAAAAAAGGCCCACTTTGGCCCACCCCTAGATCCCCCCTTACTGTTGCTTAATGTCACAGCTCCTTTGTTACTGAGAAGAAGCTGATAGGTGCCTGAATCAGGGTGAGATGAAAATAATTAATAAACTCTTTGCCCTTTGGGCAAACTGTTACTGAAGTTTAGTGGCCACAGTACAGCATTCATGCTCAGAGGTCAACTGACCCCTTTTCTGTAGCATTTCAGATTACTCTTTATCTTGGCAAATGCTGCTTACTCACTGGACATCCCATGAGTTGTTTCACTAGCCCTGGGCTATCAGATAGCACTTTTGTTGCACCCTGTCAATGGTGTGCCAAAATGGTGACAGATTATAGTGTTGAAAAAAATTTGTGAAAAATTGTGTTTTGTTGAATTTGTGTACTTTCAAAAACTACGAAATCTGTAGATTCAATAAAAATAAAAGATATGCCATTGGCCAGCCGTTAATCCATAAGGTTTAGTCACAACAATTATTTAAAAACATCTATAAAAGAAACTTGAAGGTTTAATGTGTCTGCTATACTCAGCTTTTGAAACATCATGTACAATACTTTCCAACTTTCTGAACTTGTTGTAAATCTTTATACCATAAATTTTCAATTGATCTATTAAAATCTCATTCTAGAAAAATCACATAAATTGACAAGAATATACTTTTATGGATTTATTATGCTGTACCCTCCTAAATGCAAATTCCTGACTCCCTTAAAAAGGCAAAAAAAGAAAAGAACAAAATGTTTTCAGCAATAAGATGCAATAATGATTCAAGCTGAAAATAATATTGGCCTCACTGAGTTTTCAAATGTCAGCAGACATTTTATGGAGGACATAAACACACCACAAATGGGTTTCCTTTTTCTGCTACTAAGCTACAATCGAACCTCTCGGTACCGACACCTCTCTAATACAGACACCTCTATATTATGGACAGTTTCCAATGTCCCAACAAAATTTCTCATATATTTTCTTTAAAAAAGAACCTCAATAATACGGACTCTCTCTAATACCGACAACGGACACTAGATCTTGGTCCCAGAGAGTAAATTCGTATAAATTTATACCTCTTTATTACGGACGCTGTAGTGATCAGGTGAATTCCAAATCCCGATCAGCAGGTGAATTTGCACAGGGTAAATCCCATCTAGTCTGGCTGATGAGCTATGCAAGGTGACTTCAAAAGCCCAGTCGCCGTATACCAAACAATTAATTTGCAATTTCTATTACATTTTGTATGCTAGTTATTGTTTACTGCACTTGCAAAATAGCGAAAGACGCTTTCAGAATTGTGCTTTATGTTACAACTTTTTACATGCAGCATTGCGCTGTAGCTCGTTTCGTCTTAAAACAGTGATTTGTCTATGACTGTACGTATGTAGCTGATTATGTACAATGTTGTATACTACTCAAAGACGGTGTTGTACTGTGAATTAATAAACTTAAATGCAGTTTAAAGACGAATGTAAGCCTGGTTTTAGCTGCTGAACACCTAAAACTGCCGTGGAGTCATAAAAGTCACGTCATCATAGTGACCTCTTTTATACAGACACCTCTCTAATAAGGACACTTCCCTCTGTCCCTTTGGTGTCCGTATTAGAGAGGTTCGACTGTTATGAGTTCAATTCCAAGAAATCAATTTCAGGGAATAATTAACCTACTTTCGTGACAATTTAAAGCAACTGATGCACGAGTTGAAATAATATTGCAAACAAAGTTAAAAAAATGCTATAATTATGTATATTATTTAACACTACAAGTATATTATTTTCACCACAAAAACATATTAAAAACAAGGGGTATTTGTTGCCTGACTCACAACTTTAAGTTGACTGTGATATGAGTAAACTGTAATGTGTAGTTCCAGAAAACATTTATAATACCCCACCCCCCCTCCCCCCAACTATCGAGGGCACTTTTGCTTTAGACCACCCACACCCCTATAATTTCCATTCCAGGGGGTCATACACCCCATGCACCTCTCCTGAAGAGAATATTTTCATCAAAAATGCTGTTGCACTATACTTTTATGCGGAAGATAATTGTATGTTTTCTGTTATAAAGAGAGGAAAAATCTTTTTATTCATCTTAAAACAGTGTCTAACATTCTCAGTGTTGCCTTGCATGTAAAGGTCTTTCTTTGTTAATTATTAACAGTGAGTACAGGTGTATATACTTGTAATACAAGACACATAGTAAACTAAGGACCCTTAATAATATTTTTGAGATTTAAACAATATTAAATTCCACACATGGAAAAATATTTTCATGTTGATCACAACATTACGGCGTATCAAAACTTGGTAACAAAATCACCAAGGTACATAAAAACACATAATTTTAATTAAAATTTAAGAAAAACAAATCACTTGTTTTTCGATGAAAAAGAAGTGTTGTCATTCTAGAATGTTGTCTTCAAATAAATCTTGCAGCAAAGATAACTTGGATCGAGTCATGGACGTGCAGCAGTATAATCTTCTGATACATCAGCAGTTAATAGAGTCAAGATTCAAGCTGTGAGATATGCTACCCACAAAGAGGGTTGTCTAATACTCACAAATAGACTCCATTGGTGTTAGTAGTGACAAGAAGGGTCTCCATTGGTACCAATGGTATGATTGGTACCAATGTAATAGAAAATGATGTCATTCTAATGGTTCTACTGGTGAATATGCATCTCATTAAGGGGACTTAGATTATTTTCTCATGTGGTCTGGCTGGGTACAGCGCAATTCCAATGGTCCATTGGTACCAATGGTACGATTGGTACCTTTGAATAGAAAATGATGTCATTCTAATGGTTCTACTGGTGAATATGCATCTCATCAAGGTATCATCCACCCTCAAGCACCCTCCCCGCTTTGATCGGCGCTAGCGCCTTTGCTTTTAATAAATACCCCCATAAACCGTACATTTTCTGAAAGATTAATAGTTCCAGATTATTGCTTATTCCTTTTAAGAAATCAAAATATAATAAATGAGAAGCTTTTTGTGAAAGTGGGTATCACTGTAAATTTAAGTCCAGGCCAGCCAAAAATAAACGGAAGAAGCTAATTAAGATCGCATTTGCTTCTTAACACGTTTGACTAAAAAACTGTCTCAGATTTTTGTCAAGTGGGTTTGTTCTTTTGTTATAAGCGGTTGAAGTTAGGGATAACAAGTCATTAGCACTACCTGTGAAAAAATACTCTCACTTGAAAACGAAAAAAGAAATCTAAATTCGAAGTCACATTTTTTTAGAAAAACCATCTGACAGTAAGTTCGCCAAATTTCAGCCTGAAATTGGTTCACAGGTTGCCGACTTGGAGTTTAAAACGCACCCTCAACTTGCCCTGATTCTCATTTTGAGAAAACAGGGGAAAAAGATTTTTGGCGGCGTATTACCCGTGACGAGATTATAACAGATGATAACCAAAGCTGCCAATGTTGATGCATACCAGAAAAGGGAGAACAATAGTGACACAGTAGGCAGGGACCGCGGAGACCATTATTTTTAAAGTGGTAGGGCTAAAAAATCTTGCCAATGCAAGAAACATTAAGTTCAGTGTTTTGCCATTTATCTGGCATTTGCGCACCATCTTATTTACAACCTCAACAAATATAACATAAATGTCATCAATATAGCCAATACGTTAAATAAACCTTCCTAAGGTTGCTACTTTTTGAAGTTGTCCGCAGTGCCAAAGTTTCTCTTATGGTTCTCATTACCGGAAAAAACTCCTGTGACCATTCAACACTTCTAGGTTGCTAAACCTTTCGTCAGCCATCCTGCATCGAAGCCACGTCTTCAGACACGGCACAGATGAGAATGAAGCCTCACCAGCAGTGCTGGTAGCAGGATTTACAGCAAGCAGTTTACAGATAGTTTGGACTTCCTGAATTAGCTTAAATTCCTTTCTGGTTCGGGAAACTTTAACACCGCCAAAGGGATTGCGTCAAAACATGATATCTTCTACTCCTTTAACATAACTTCCAAAATACTTAGTTGCCAAGGTAGCGCATCTGTACCAACATCTTTGCTGTATGATGCTTCAAGAAACTTGAAGTCTGTGTCATAGTTGCTCGCCACCATTAGCAGCTTTAACAAAGAGGGTCTCCATCTGTGCGTAGGAGCTGAAGCTTTCCTGATTAACACGCTGATAGATAGCCCTGACGATAAGATGAATAGTCTCATAATAGGCCCTTCTAAAGTGATCTTTGGCAGTCTGGGGATAGCTTGGTGCACCAGCACCAACCTCCAGTCTGGCCGGAGTGCATCATTTTCTTGAAAGCGTTGGTTCGCCAAGCAGGCCTTCACTCTTGCGGGCACTATTAGCATAGAAATGGTTGAAGCTTTGATCAGTGCGAATTTTTGTGAGTGTCTACTTCACTAGATTTGCTAGGCGTTGTCCACTGACAGCAGCCATCTTAGTACCCTCATTGTACCCTGAAGATCCTTAGATAGATTATCGGTGAGGGAATAAAGGTGCTCTCCAAGATGCAAAGCAAAGAAGGTCAAATCACTCCATTTGGGCCTTACATGTAATTATCCTTTCACAGACATCAGGTTTTAAATGTTCGGACAAGCAAACATCCCTCTCTTCCATAGGGCAAATTCCAATAATTCCAAGGAAATTTTTTGCATGTCAATTGGAGCGCTAGAAAATAAATCCCAGAAATAAAACTGGTACGGCTATAGTACTACCAGGCCCTTCCCCTCTGCGGTCTTTGGCAGGAAAAGGTTGCAAACGAAACCCAACAAAAGATTAACAATTTCTTTCAAAGGCTCTGCTCTTTTCGATTTTTCTGTTGTCGAGAAAGCATATTTAGTTATTTGCGACGGGCATGCAGTTAAAAATTCATTTTCGCACCAGACAAGCCAAGTTGAGCCAAGCCAACTTTTACTCAATGCATTTTCTAAAAGTTCGACACTTCCCTGGAAAAATCGACAACAAACCACTTCCTGGAGTTTTTCTTGAAGCTGCTCTCCCGCTACAATAGACTTTCAAAAAAGTCCTTCATTCGATTTTTATATGGCGCGGGCCCTGTTGGAATTTTTCGCTCGCTTGGCCGCTTCGCGACCTAAAAAGCTCGCTCTGCTCGCTAAGAAACTCGTGAAACTCGATTTCGCAGTAGTTTCAATGGGTTTTTCAGAAGCATTGTCATCTTTTAGCCATTTTTCTTGATTGTAGTAGGAGCCCTTGTCGCTCTCTACTAATTTCAAAGCCCACACTTTGCAAAACAATTTTGTCGTCTTCTTTCGTCTTCGAGTCAAGGACGAAAATGGACAAGCTCTTTTTTCTTCTTTGGAGGCATTCACTTCCAAACTCCAGGGAAAAACAGTGAGCAGTATACTTGTAGACCACGATTTCTGTCAAATTGCATGATTAGCTTGGTTCAACAGCAGCATGCGTATCAAGTATGACAGGACTTGTCAACGATCAATTAAAATAATTAGCATAGAAAAAACTTTTGCTCTCCATAAGTTTGCACAGAAAAAACATTTTTCCTGGAATTTTTTTTAAAAGAAAGCTCTTGATGAGCTCTACTTAAATAATCATCTAAAAATTGAAAATTTCAAAAAATGATGATTTTTTTACCTTGGATGATACCTTAGGGGACTTAGATTATTTTCTCATGTGGTTGGCTGGGTACAGGGCAATTCCGATGGTCCATTGGTACCTGAATGGTGCGATTGGTACCAATAGAAAAGGCCATCATTCCAATGGTTCTATTGGTGAATATGCATCTCATTAAGGGGACTTAGATTATTTTCCATGTGATTTTGCTGGGTACAGGGCAATTCCGATGGTCCATTAGTACCAATGGTACGATTGGTACCATTAGAAAAGCACATCATTCCAATGGTTCTATTGGTGAATATGCATCTCATAAAGGGGACTTGGATTTAATATTTTATGTGATCTAGCCTGGTACAGGGCAATTCCAATGGTCCATTGGTACAAATGGTACAATTGGTACCAATAGAAAAGCATGTCTTTCCAATGGTTCTGTTGGTGAATATGCATCTCCTTGAGGGGACTTACATTATTTTCCATGTGATGTAGCTGGGTACAGGGCAATTCTGATGGTCCATTGGTACCAATGGTATGATTGGAATAGAAAGAGACATTCTTGTATGACGCGAGCCGAACCAGGTGGAGGCATGCAACGGATACGTCCACACCTCCAAAGGTCCACAAATCCATCCCAACATTTTATTTCAAGCGTGCAAACTGTTTATTAAACTGAAAATTCTAGATAGGAAGTCCTGTATTATTAGTCTTGCGAAACTTGACACATCCTCTATCTATCTTCCATCTTCTTCTACCTTAAATCTTAAAATGAATTTTTTTCGGTACAGATACATGTTTATTAATACGACATATTGGGTATCTAGGACACTGCGTGATACCCAGATCAGATCCAGGCAGAATTTGTTCTCGGGTAATTGCCTGGTAGTCTATCAGACTAAGGGACCAAGCACTTCCTTCGATCATTTTTGAAAGTTGCGCGCTACTGCAATTAATGGACCATTGGAATTGCCCTGTACCCAGCTAGCAGGTCACATGGGAAAATAATCTAAGTCCCCTTAATGAGATGCATATTCACGATTAGAACCATTGGAATGACATCAGTTTCTATTGGTACCAATCATAATGGACTATGGGTTTGACGAATCGTATCCATTTGTATATATTGGACATGCGTGCCACTGAAGGGCCATGAGGCAAATCCAACAGAGTTGTTTCAAGCTGTTGTGCAACAGAACATGAGACAAAATGGCAAGCTCCTGGGAGAAGAGCAGAGAAAATGGTCCAGCAACTATTAGACAGGCCCAAATAGCAGTGTCTGAAGTTCTTGGCCGACTACATTTTAACACAGCCACATTTCATGGCTGTTACGAAGTGCGAGCAACAGGCCACCATCTTCAAAACAGATGGAAGACCGATCTAGTGGCAAGAAGAGTTTTAAGATGACGAAAGCCTGAAGAAAGCGCTATATTTCAGTGGTCAAATAAGTTGTAGACTGTCCAAGTTTTCCTCCTGTTTTCCTGATGAATGCTTTTCAAAACATCCTCAAAAACGTTGCGATATTCTTAATACAATGTTCAACCCTTCATTATGTGATTTGTTTTTTAGTTAGAAATATATACGTCAACAATCACGTCATTGCTGAGCACCATTTACAGACAAAATATCAAATTGACTGGGACTCTGCAACATGTATAACGTATTCTACAGACTACTATCAACGCCTTACTTTAGAAAGCTGGTTTACTAACTTAGAACAAACGCCATTGAATGGTAGCCAACAGTTACCAGTGCTGTACAAATGACTTATTGATGAGATCAAGCAAAACTAACTACGAGAGAGCGACTGGAGAACTGCACTAACAATAAAAACTAATAGATGACTGTTTAACTGTGACAATAGACGGATCGAAACGCACCTGCCAATTACTGATTACGAGTCTTCATAGCCAATAACATCACAGCTTAACTGACAGATGACCAATAACATCGCGACGTAATCGTCCAATCAGATCAATAACCAGAGTATAATACCATCAACTGACGTGATACAACTCACTTTGACTCTGAAGATGACTTAACCACACAGGTTGTTGAAATGTCAGTCACTATCAACAACAACAGTCCTATTCAGGACTACGTTCACCCGGACGATCAAACTCAACCTACTTTTGTAATTTCATTCTTTTGTTAACTGATGCAATGCATGTTGTTGCATGTTGTTCTGTTAACCTTTTGACAATAAAATATATTTGTTTGTTTTTTCACAAACACCTTTTCTTTTATCTTTCTCATGATCATTATCAATATATTGTTAACCATCATTATCATCAACAACTTTTTTTTCTACAATAGAAGCCTGTAAAAATCTATGGTCTGCCTAGAAATAATACACTTCGCATCTTAAAAAGATGATAGAACTCACTCTTTAATCTATGATTACCCCTAGTTATTCATCTTAAAACGGTGTCTAATGTTCTCAGTTTTGCCTTGCATGTAGAGGTCTTTCTTGGTTAATTAAATTAACAGTATGCCACTGACAACCAAGGAGGCAATACCTCACAAAACACATATGATAGAGCCTATGAAAGAACCAGTAAACCATGATCAATAATTGAACTCACTCACTTCAATTCCTCATGAACCTATTTGTGGGTGTTTACTGTATTTAGATGTTAAATGAAGAACAAAGCATATAAAATAATAAACGGATATGTTGTAGTTAAGTTTCTTTTTATCTCCTGTATTTTTTCTTTTTCTTTTTTTTTCAACTTCATTAGCATAATTATATTTATACATGTACAGTTGTAGTATACCCCAAAACAAAAGAAAAACAAAAAATTACATGAGATAAAAAATTAACTACAACAGACACATTAAAGTGACTGCATAAACACATAATAAGCTTCTTTAAAAAAATAAAAAAGGGTTCAGTGTAATAATGTTAAATTGTATATATTTATTAAAACCCTTTCACTCCCAGAGTGTTATTATGGATCCATAAAATTTAGTTCTTACTCTTGACCCCCTAGACGATCGAAACCCCTTTCAGTATTCTCACATGGTACTATTTATTTTCAGTATTGGACGAAATGAAATTTCGACTTCTTCGTTAATAACGTTTTGATTTTGTCAGTTCACTTTTGGAAGTGAAGAGTAAAAACATCAATAACTTTACATACCAGCGCGTCACCTCTCGCTGTCTTGCTGGCATTAATGCAGTAATTGTTATCCCTCTCACGATACCAAAGTTGAAGCCCACCTGCCGCATCATTATCCTTGCTCCCCCATGAAACTATTCCACGTGCCACACAAATCTGGGTAAAGCCATGCAGAAGCCAACTGAGCAAGTCGGCCATTTTGTTTATTGGAAGAGCACCTCGTCCCCAGGCTCTCATCCTACTGAAAATCGCACCTGCCGCAATGACTTATGGGCTGCATTTGTTTTGTGCGGCGTTTTTTTCTTTTCTTTCGTTTGTTTTTATTTCCCATGTGGTGGAAAGAAAACTCAGACAAGATCAACAAATTGCACATTCAAGGTGACGTTTTTCATTTTCCTAAAGATGCTTAATGTTTGAAAACGATGCTCTGTACTCGAGTAAAGTTATGCTGACAAATACGCGGGCAAATAGAGAAATTCTCAGTGTGACTGAATGCGGAGGCAAACACTTAGAAAAAGGCGTAAACCCGGCACATAAAAATATGTGACAGGGAATTTTCCCAGCCACGGTTTTCTCTTTTCATTTTTTACAAGTGTGATGTCACCACCGGGATTACTACTCTCTCTTTAACCTGTCGGACCAGCTCCACTTTTTGCAGATTTTCTCTTTTGTAGTTCGCGAAAATGGTCTACGGCGCAACGGCGAAACGAAAATACTGGCTAAGTGTAGGTTGTTATGGGGCGCCAAATGTATTTTTATTATTTAGAGTGGTTATTTTGTATATAACCAAAACGAGGCTGGTTATTTACAAATAACCACATTACAGTTTTATTATTTCTAAATATATAAAATTGGTTATTTACAAATAACCAAAACTGAAATTTGGTTATTTAGCAAATAACCAAAAATTAAAAAGTGGTTATTTCTAAATAACCAAATACGAGATTTATTAAATAACCAAAATGCGAGATTGCTTATTTATCAAATAACCAAAATGCGAAATTAGTTATTTATTAAATAACCAAAATGCGAGATTGGTTATTTATTAAATAACCAAAATGCAAGATTGGTTATTTATTAAATAACCAAAATGCGAAATTGGTTATTTATTAAATAACCAAAATGCAGACAGAATGGAAAATTGGTTATTTATAAACAAACTGGACAATTGGTTATTTACGATTAAAATCCAAAACTGTGCAAAAACGGTTATTTAATACAGAAATGGTTATTTACCTAATTTGGTCTCAGCAAGTGGCCACGTTGCCCATTTTCCCGCTCATTTCCCATAACGACTTGCAGACTTCTATTTCCAACATGGCTTCTTCCACTTCCTTCATTTTCCTCTTTTCTCTTTCATTTACCTTCTTCCACCGTCAGTTTTCCTTTATTTACTTTCATTTTCCTCCGTACACCTCCATTCGCTTTCATTAATCTTCATTTACATTCATTTATTTTAATTCACCTTCATTCACACTCATCCTTCGTCATTAATTTTCATCTACCTACGTGGGCCTTCATTTACCTTTGCCTTCTTTCACCTTCATCTACCGTCATCTTCCTCCATTAGCCTTCATTCACCTTCATCTACCCCCATTGGCCTTTATCCACGGTCACCTACATTCATTAGCCTTCTTTTACCTTCATACGCCTACATCTACCACCATTAATCTTCATTTACCGTCACCTACTTCAGTTGGTTTTAATGATAGTCCAGAGATTATCCAACGAATTGTCGTGCCGTCACATTATTCATTTCTGACTACAAATCTTATTAGTTATTATTATTATATATATTAATCTTATTCAGATAGAATAAAAAATGAAATGATCAAATCCAGCTTAAATGAACTAATGCCTATTTATTTGAAGTTATTTAACGCTGTTCTGACGTCAGGCACTATGCCTCAAACATGGTGCAGTGGCCTTATAACACCAATTTTCAAAAGTGGGACTAAAAGTGATCCCTCAAATTATCGAATTTGTATTTCTAGTTGTCTTGGGAAACTATTTTGCTCAATTCTCAATCAAAGACTTCTCAAGCACATTCAGTCGCGTGACATACTTCATAAATCTCAAATGGGTTTCTTAGCAAATAATCGAACCGCTGACCATGTTCTTACACTACGAACATTAATTGACAAATACGTTAACTGTCACAAAACGAAAGTATACGCATGTTTTGTGGACTTTAGAAAAGCATTTGATTCGGTTTGGCACGATGGACTCTTATACAAGCTGTTACAAATAAATGTCCGAGGAAACTTTTATAACGTCATAAAAAGTTTATACTCAAACTCTACCTGTTCTATTAGGATTGGAAATAACCAAACACAACCTTTTCAATACACTAGAGGTGTGCGTCAAGGCTGCATTTTAAGCCCTCTTCTCTTCAACCTATACGTTAATGATCTAGCTTTTTCATTCAACAATATTTTATCTGATCCGTTTGTGCTACCAAATGGCACCAAACTCAATTCTCATCTTTACGCTGACGACCTTATTATATTATGACGATCGAAACTAGGATTACAAAATTGCCTAAACAAATTGTCTTCATATTGCATCTCCTGGATGCTTAAAATCAACCCCAAGAAAACCAAAATAATGGTTTTCCAAAAAGGCACAAAAAAAAAATGTGATTATGTTTTTCACATAGGCAATGAAATGATAGACATTGTAAAAGACTATACTTACTTAGGGACTCGCATCTCGTCTCCCGGAAATTTTACACTCTCACTTGAACATCTTCGACAAAAAGCCCTTCATGCTCTATTTAGTCTAAGACGCCACACTTATTTTAGCAAACTGAAACCCATCCTTGCAAATAAAATTTTTGACACAATGATCTAACCGATTTTAACTTACAATAGTGAAGTTTGGGGTGCCTTTGTGAAATCTTTGTGAAAGTCATGGGATAACTCCGGAATCGAAAAAACTCATTTACACTTCTGTAAACGATATTTAGAAGTCCATAACAAGTCATCCAATGTTGCATGCAGATCTGAACTTGGCAGATTCCCTCTGATCATTGATATAAATAACAAGATACTTAATTACTTAAACTATCTCCAAGAAAAAGATGAAAATTCTATAGTTAAACAATCTTTAAAAATATCTGTTGACCTTTATCATAGTCAGGCCAGGCCAGGGGGGGTAGTGGGATACCAATATACCCACTATTTTGCCCCCAAGATACCAATATACCTGAAAATCGTATAATGTGTGATACTGAATACCTAAAATTATTTTGAAAGAGGATACAAAATACCCGAATATGAACAAGTCAGATCTTAATAAAAGAAAAACTCCTGGTTCACTGTCCTCTTCCGCTTCCTTTGCGGTCGGCCAGCGCCCATGGTGATCGAATCCTCGTCACTTTGTCGATCAATGCTCTCTACAAAAGGCTCTTCATCAGCTTCATTGGGAGAGGTGGTGTCAGTGGATCGTTCATCAAGGCCAGGAGCAGATAATACTCCCCCTCATCTATTTCAACAGTTTCATTTTCAACAACTGTAAGGCTGCTTACAACCCCCTTTATGCCCTCTTTTGGGATGACATGCTCTTCTCCCGAAGTAGTGAATAGGAGAGGATCGACAACATCTTGGGTGTAACAGAGAGTTGTTACATAACGAGCACTGTCATAGTCATCAACCACATCCTCTAATAGTTTTGTAATATACAGTTGGCTGTTTGGAGCAGAACACAGTCTGTATATTCGGGAAACTACAACATACGTAGACTGGGCGATGACAATGTTACGTGCTGTGTTGGTATATTGGTGTTGAACGGGGATGTCTTCATTGAGAAGCACGTCATTGAAGTCAACTGAATGTTGCTCCGGGGGTGCAGACTCGTAGAGGTTCAATGGCAAGGTGCCTGGCTTGTCTTTTGTTGAAAAGTTCCTTGTGGTATTATCTGACACTCTTACCGTACTGCTGTACCCACTGACGGATCTCATCCAATTGCTTCTTGGATAAGCAACCAGACAAAGGCTTCGGTAATTTTGCAAGGTCGCAGAAGTTTATATCAACATCACCTAAAGTAGGCTGAAGGTAGTACGAGGCCACTGGATTTGTAAAGTACCTGTAGCTCGTACCTGTGACACGTTTTAATAATTCGTTAATACATCGGGGAAAACGCAAGCAAAAGTCGAGCATCATGGGAGTGTCCGTGTTACCCCCTCTCATACTGGAAAAGAAGTTTTCAACAAAGAGAGTTAAAAGGCTTTCAATGTCTAAGTGTTGAATGAAGTTTGGATTGAGTTCCATCACCTTTGTCCTCAGTCTAGTGAGGCCTTCCAAAATCATCTTCACGGAGTTCAGTGTAGTAGCAGATAGTGTTCAGTCTGGTCCTTGGGTCTGGGAAGTTGAACCCTTGATACCCTGAACTTTCAACGAGGCTTCTTCGTGAAAAGCGTAGTAATGTTGGATGCGGGTAACTGTCTCATCAAAACTTAACCTTGTGGTTGTCCCAGTCAGATTGAAGGCTGACAGAAAGAGCCACAGGTTTTGTAAGTATTTGATTAGGGCTTGAACAGCCAGCCATTCGGAAACTCCGGAGGATCAGGCTTCTTGTGCTTTACACCAAGCTGAAAATCGAGCTTTCTAGCCCCTTTCTCAGCAGCTTTGTTTCTGAAACCTCCATAATCGTTTATGGCTAATTTCTTTCGCAGGTCAACTAATGTTTCCTTCAGCCCAATTTTCACGAAGGTAGACTACTTATCGCATGGTTTCACTTCTTCACTTCGATAAATAAAACATGAGACTGGCACAAAGCGCACACTTTCACTTTCGGCAGGCATGCGTAATGGTGCACAAAGAGCCCTGTGTGCCCTGGGTACGAGATTGCGATTCACGAGGTGGTGGGGGTGGGGGTGGGTTTACTGGGATAGGAAGCCAAACAGTAACAATTTCGAGCATCCGCACTATTTTTAGTGAGCATTAGAGCGATAATAAAATGAATGAGTGATTTCTGTACCATATACCGAATGCCTAAAATTCAGGAAAAACTGAATACTTTATACCCGAATTCTGGCCAAAAAATACCATATGCCTGAATTAAAATGGCCCGGGATACCGTATACCCAAAACCCCTGGCCGGGCCTGCATAGTGGTCAAAATAGTTTTTACTCCAGTCTTAAGAAGATGACTGACTACTATGATTTCCCAGGCTTTGATTGTAATTTACTGAATAAATGTAAAA